CTAGGTGGAGGTGCCGCCCGCATGTGGCACTCTAGACGCCCTATTCCACCCACGGCCGCCCACGCTGCTTGGGAGTTGCCATAATCTTTTACTGCGGTCGCTGCCTCTGTTGGTTGGGGGGGAGGGGGTGCAGGTAAGCGGAGAGAATTGGGTACTCATCTGTCATTATCAACGTCACGGACACTCATATAATCTCTCTCTCTCTCTCTCTCTCTCTCTCCCTCTCTCCCTCTCTCCCCCCCTCTCTCTCTCTCTCTCTCTCCCTCTCTCCCCCTCTCTCTCTCTCTCTCTCTCTCCCTCTCTCCCTCTCTCCCCCTCTCTCTCTCTCTCTCTCTCTCTCTCTCTCTCTCTCTCTCTCTCTCTCTCTCTCTCTCTCTCTCTCTCTCTCTCGCTCCCCCTTCACCCTTCCCTACTCGCTACACCCCTCCTACCTCTCACTTTTCCCCTCTTTTTCCCACCTCCCTCCCTTCCCCTCTAAATTCCCTCATTCTACCCCCCCCCCTCTCACCCTCACACTCCCCTCGCCCCAAACTCACGCGAGACCACCTCCCCCTTCACCCTCCACCCCTACCCCTCCTTTTTACCCTCTTTTCCCCATCTCCTCTCTCCTTCCCTTACTCCTCTCCCTCCCCCCCATCTTACCTCCCCCCATTTCACCCTCCCCCTCCCCCCCCTCGCCCCAAACTCACGCGAGACCACCACCCCCTCCTACCCCTCCTTTTCACCATCTTTTCCCCACTTCCTCCCTCCCTCCCTTTCCCCTCCCCCCTATCTCATCCCCCCCTCCCCCCTCGCCATAAAACTCACGCGAAACCACCATCCCTTACACCTCTCCTTTTCACCCTCTTTTCCCCACTTCCCTCCCTCCTTCCTTTACCCCTCTCCGCCCTCCCCCCCATCTTACCTCTCCCCCTCTCCCCCTCTCATCCTCCCCCCCTTCTCCCTCCCCCCCTCGCCCCAAACTCACGCGAGACCACCACCCGGGTTCTGATGGGCGGCGCCGAGGACACGACGTTGGAGGCCCGACACAGGTACACGCCCGTATACTCCTTCGTCGCCGAGGCCGCCCGCAAGGTCACGACCCCAACGCCCGCACCGACGACACGCTCTGTGCTGAGGGAGAGGGGGGGAGGGGTTGCGGGAGGAGTGGGGTAGGGGTGAGGGGGAGAGAGAGGGGAGAGGGTGAGTGGTGGGTGTTCTCCGGGTGAGCTTTTTTTTTTTTTTTTTTTTTTTGGTGTGATGGTGAAGAAGGGGAGGAGAAGGAAGGAAGAAGAAGAGGAGGAGAAGAAGAAGAAGAAGAGGGGAAGAAGAAGAAGAGAAGAAGAAGAAGAAGGAGAGAAGGAGAAAAAGGGAAGAAGAAGAAGAGGGGAAAAAGAAGAGAAGAAGAAGAAGAAGGAGAGAAGATAAAGGGAAGAAGGAGAAGGGAAGAAGAAGAAGAGAAGAAGAAGAACGAAAAGAGAAAATGACAGAAAGGAGAAGAATAATGGAAGAGGAAAAAGGAAAAAAAAAGAAGAAGCGAAGGAGAAAAAAGAAGGAAAGAAGAAGAAAGGGAGAGGAAGAAGATAAAAAGAAAAAGGGATGAAGAAGAAGGGAAGGAGGAGAAGGAAAGAAGAGGAAGAAGAAGCGGGAAAAGAAGAAGAAAAAGGAAGAAGAAGGAAAGAAGAAGGAAAAAAGAAGGAAAGAAGGAGGAGAAAAAAAATAAGGAAAGAAAAAAGAGAGGAAGGAGTAGGGAAAGTTGAAAACAGAACAAGAAGAAAAAGAAGAAGAAAAAGAAGAAGAAAAAGAAAAGTAAGAAGAAAAAGAAGAGAAAAAACAAGAAAAAAACAAGAAGAACAAAGAAGATTAAGAACAAGAGAAAAAGAAGAATAATGAGAGAGAAAAATGAAAAAGTAGAAGAAAAAGAAGAGAAAGACGTAATTTTTCTTTCACTCAATATCTACTAATTCTAAACAGTTTTTGTAGCTATTAAATAAATGTCAGTGAGAAGTAATGATGATACTAGTAGTAGAAACCGCAACAGCAGTAGCAGTAGCAGTAGCAGTAATAGTAGTAGTAGTAGTGATAGTAGTACTAGTAGTAGTAGTAATAGTAGTAGTAGTAGTAGTAGTAGTAGTAGTAGTAGTAGTGGTAGTGGTTGTAACAGTAGCAATAGCAGTAAAAGTAGTGTAGTAGTAGTAGTAATAGTAGTAATAGTAGAAGTAGTAGTAGTGGTTGTAGTGGTTGTAGTAGTAATAATAGTAGTGGTAGTGGTAGTGATTGTAGCAGTAGCAATAGCAGTAAAAGTAGTAGTAGTAGTAGTAACAGCAGTAATATCAGCAGCAGTAACAGTAGTACCATTATCATTATCATCCTCATCACCATACTGTCACCATACCATCATCATCATCAGCATCAACATGGGTTTTTCTCACCTGTTGGGGGTTTGGGGCCGTCGTGACCAGGTGAGGTTGGGCTTGGGGTTTCCCTTGGCTGAACAGGTGACTGCCAGCGGAGAACCTCGGTCTATCCGCACATGTTCATCAGCTTGAACCCGTTCTGGTCCGTCTGTGGGGGAGGGAGAATAAAAGTGTTATTCGTGTTATGTGTTATTTCTTGTTTATTTAGATATGCTTTGCTGTGTTTGTTGAACTTGAAACCGTTCTGGCCCGTCTGTGGGGGAGGGAGAATAAAAGTGTTATTGGTGTTATGTGTTATTTCTTGTTGATTTAGATATGATTTGCTGTGTTTGTTAGTTATTATTGTCTTCATTGATTTTTAAAAATATATCTGAATCGGTGTTGTTTGTGTTTAATCGTGTTTGTGTTTCTTGATTTATGTATGTGAGATATAGATCAATATGATATCGTGTTAGTCCAATGTTATTTAGTTATTTGTATAATGTATATTTGTACTTTTCTGTGCTTGCTATACATGTTTGCGTTTTTCATTTGTTTGTGCTATTTATGTGTCTATGTTATCAATTAATCAAATGCGCTACTCACTCTGTTCAAGTTTAAGCTTGTACTATCCATCTGTTTATATTTGTCATATGTTCACTTTACTTCTTCGTTCATTTAGTTTATTAATTTATCAATTTAATTAGTTATGATTGTTCATCATTTATGTTTTTTTTTTATTTATTTATGCCTGTACTATCTATTTTTGTTCATCTACTACTCCATTAACCCGTCTACCTACCCCTCCCCCTTCCCTCCCTACCTCTCCATTTACCCATCTACCTACCCCCCCCCCTTCCCTCCCTACCACTCCATTTACCCATCTACCTACCCCCCCCCTTCCCTCCCTACCTCTCCATTTACCCATCTACCTACCCCCCCCCTTCTCTCCCTAGCACTCCATTTACCCATCTACCTACCCCCCCCTTCCCTCCCTACCTCTCCATTTACCCATCTACCTACCCCCCCCTTCCCTCCCTACCACTCCATTTACCTATCTACCCCCCCCCCCCTTCCCTCCCTAGCACTCCATTTACCCATCTACCTACCCCCCCCCCCTTCCCTCCCTACCACTCCATTTACCCATCTACCTACCCCCCCCTTCCCTCCCTACCACTCCATTTACCCATCTACCTACCCCCCCCCTTCCCTCCCTACCTCTCCATTTACCCATCTACCTACCCCCCCCCTTCTCTCCCTAGCACTCCATTTACCCATCTACCTACCCCCCCCTTCCCTCCCTACCTCTCCATTTACCCATCTACCTACCCCCCCCTTCCCTCCCTACCACTCCATTTACCTATCTACCCCCCCCCCTTCCCTCCCTAGCACTCCATTTACCCATCTACCTACCCCCCCCCCCTTCCCTCCCTACCACTTCATTTACCCATCTACCTACCCCCCCCCTTCCCTCCCTACCACTCCATTTACCTATCTACCTACCCCCCCCCCTTCCCTTCCTAGCACTTCATTTACCCATCTACCTACCCCCCCCCCCCCTGCCTACCACTCCATTCGACTAGATATGTTATTTAAAAACATGTCATTCATCTGTCTACCTTTTATATATTATTCAATTTCATTCAGATGTCATTTCTTGCTTATGTTATTCACATCTATATATCCTTTATCTGCATGTCTTTCGCATTTATCTTTAAATCTATTTATGCAATTATATAAGTTATTCAACAGTTCAAGTGATTCAGAAATGTGTTATCCATTTTATCATTATTATTATTTATTTTTTTATTATTTTTTTAACAGTTAGGTAAAAGGTCAAATTTACATATCCAACAATACAGGAAAAGAAGAAAATAGCTTTCAGTGCACTTCTAAAACCATTTTTTTTACTGTTTTATTTTATGTTCATGTATCGTACAATACTTTTTATATACTGTTTTTTTTTTATTTTTTTATTTTTTTTTATTTTTTTATTTAAGGTGCACGATATATAAGCTTTTTTTCTGGTCTACCTAAGGAACAATAGACACCCACGTTCTTACATGCTTGGCTTCAGTATAAAGGCATATAATTTGCTCTTTAATTGACTAATTATATTTGCAACCCCCCCCCCCCCGTCTCACACGCCTTGGTACAGTTTTTTTTTTTTCTTCTTCTTCTTCTTCTTCTTCTTCTTATTATTATTATTATTACTATTATCATTATTATTACATTTATCATTATTATTATTATTATTATTATTATTATTATTATTATTATTATTATTATTATTGTTATTATTATTATTATTATTATTATTTTTATTTTTTTATTTTTTTTTATTTTTTTAAATCCTGCATGTGGATTATCTTATTTTGTTTACCTTTTTTTCGAGAGAGTTGTGGGTTCGTTTGATTGTGGACTAATTTGTGTGTTTGTTTCATTGTCGATGTACTTGTTTGTGAACGTATATTATTTGTTTGTGGATTTCTTTTTGTGTGTGGATTAGCTAGTTTGTGGGTTCCTTTGTTTGTGGGATCGTTCGTGTATTTATTTGTTTGTGGATATCAAAGCTTGTGTTTTTTTGTTTGTGGATGTGTTTGTTTTTTGGATTTTATTGCAACTTTGTTCGTTCTTTCGCTTGGTTGTTTTTTTTGTGGATTTATTTGTGGGTGTGTTTGTTCATGGATCTATTGGTTTGCAGATGCGTTTGTCTGTGGATACGACGTGGACATTCATTGTTTTACTGTTTATTACTGTGTTCATATATTTCTCTTTTTATACTGCAATTATTCTCCAGCGATTTTGCTTTCCTTTATTTATTTTTATTTCGTTCCAACCGTTGAACAATATGTACTGCCTCTCTCTCTCTCTCTCTCTCTCTCACTCTCTCTTTTTACATTTTTGTTTTATTTTGCTCCAATAATACAGGAAAATGTTTATTAACCACTTCTCTGTGTTGTTTTTATCTATTTGTTCTTTCATTTTGTATCATTATCTCCCATTCTCTTTCTCTTTTTTAGTGTCTCCCTCGCATTCTTTATCTTTCTGGCTGTTTCTTTCTCTCTCTCTCTTTTAAACTTCTTCGTTCATGTACTTTACACTACTTCTCTGACTTTTCTTTCTTTTAACTTCCTTCCTCGTCACTGCATCTATCTCTCTTATTCCTTTCTTTTTCTCTTTCTTCCTTTCTCTCTCTCTGTCTCTCTCTCCTCTCTATCTCTCTTCCTTACATCCCTCTGTCCTTCTAGCTATCTTTCTCTCTCCTCATTCCATCCCCTCTCCTCCCCCCCCATCCCTCCTCCGTCTCCCTCCCACCCTTCTCTCTCTCTCTCCCCCCCCCTCTCTCTCTCTCTTCCTTACATCCCTCTGTCCTCCTTCTAGCTATCTTTCTCTCGCCTCCCTTACCTTCCCTCCCTCCTCCGTCTCCCTCCCACCCTTCTCTCTCTCTCTCCCCTCTCTTTCTCTCTCTCTTCCTTATATCCCTCTGTCCTCCTTCTAGCTATCTTTCTCTCTCTTCCCTTACCTTCCCTCCCTCCTCCGTCTCCCTCCCACCCTTCTCTCTCTCTCTCTCCCTCTTCCTTACATCCCTCTGTTCTCCTTCTAGCTATCTTTCTCTCTCATCCCTCACCTTCCCTCCCTCCTCCGTCTCCCTGCCACCCTTCTCTCTCTCTCTCTCCCCCCCCACCCTCTCTCTCTCTCTCTCTCTCTCTCCCCCAACCTCATTTCCTCTCTTCGTTTATGCATACCGGGTTCATCGCTTATCACAAGCAGGGTTATTCCACGTGGATATCGTAGCAATGACCGAACAGGAATAATGTCTGAAGGCAAACAAAGCTTCTCTCATATCCTAGTTCGCTTTACGGGTTTAAGCAAGAGTTACAACATGGCAGGTCTTCGTGGACACGTATGCGGATACACACAGGCACATAAAGGCGTACATGTAGGTACACATGTATATACGAATACATGTGTATAGAAACACAAGGATATACACACGGGTAAGTGTACATTTTTTTTTGAATGATTAATGTATTGTAGACTCACATAGATACATACACACATACACACGTACACAAACGAAAACACACACACACACACACACACACACACACACACACACACACACACACACACACACACACACACACACACACACACATTTGCTCCCTCTACGGATAATGTACAAAGGGACAGCTGAAAATACGCCATTTATTCTCGTTCGGAATTGCAAAATAGAATAAACTCAGGAGTGCAAGAACTGTGTGCAACTGCAAGGGAAAAAGTGGGAAAGGGAAGGAAAAGGAAAGGAGAAGAGAGGAAGAGGAGAAAGGGAAGATAATACTGAGAAACGAAGTAGAAAAAAAATAAGGAAAAGTAATGGAACGAAATTTGAAGAAAAAAATGACATACAAAAAAGGAAAATAATTCAATGAAATAAAGAAAAAAAAGACAGACAATTGGTAGGACAAGGAAAGTAATAAAAAAGATAATTGCCGAGAAAAGGGAGAAAATTTGAATGAAAAAAAGAGCTGATAGACGAAAAAGATGATTTACAAAAGTAATAGAACTAGCATCAACATAAAACTAATAACAACATTAACAACCTGAAAAAAAACAAAAAAACAAAAACAAAACAATAACGCTAAGCCAAAATAACACCTCAGCAACAATACCAACAATAACCAACCATAAAATACAGCCACCTGGGTAAGACATCAGTTGAAAATAACATAACAAAGAAAATGTAATAAACCCAATTAACACACTAATCAGAGGTGAAAGAACACAACCACTAGAATGAAGAAACCGAAATAACACTGTACCCATGACAACGAAACAACAGAGAAAGGAAACAAAACCACTGGCATAAAATAACACAAATAGCATAACGACCAGCTTAATATAACAAAGAGAACACGACCACCAACGTAAAATAACAAAAACAACCTGCGTGATATAACAAAAATAACAAAGCTACATACGTAAAAATAACAAAGCAATAGAACACAGCCACCAACGTAAAAATAACTGAGCAAAATGACACCTCTACTACGAAGAACCATGACAACGCAACCACGAGACAGAACAGGAAAATAAATCTCCGCCAAACTCCCAGACCGATCGAATTCCATTCCCCAAACTGCCCACATTAGAAGTCTCCTTCGT